CATTGGATGAGATAGAAAGCACGCTCTTCTTAACGTCACATTCAGAGAATTGAGCAAAAACAAAAGGAGAGTAGTCTGGAACTGGTAAAGAAGAAAGATAATTTAAAGTATTAGTTTTATCTGAATCACTAAGACCAGAAGAAGATGAGAAATGAAGGTTTAAGGAGTTGACGTCAAAGCTACTGGGAACGGATTCTTTTCGAGGCTTACCAATTCCAAGTGACTTGAGAAAATTCCAGACTTTTGCTGGATCTTTATTATCGACTGAGACATGGATATGGCGACGTAAGGCATGCCTACACACCAAATTGCAGTGGTTACGGGCTCTGGCATAGTGAGCTTTGTTTGAGTCGGTCGGACGGCGTTTATATTTACTTTTGGCGACATCTTTTTTATGCATTAGCATTAATAGCCGCTTCTAGCTTCTCGTGGCGGCGTTTGTGGCTGTGGTGTGCGGCGACACTATATGTAATCCAGGTTTTGGAATAAAAGGTAGATATTTTTGTGTATAAAATAAATTATAATATTTTTTTTTTGTTAAAAGGGTGGCAAACAAGCATAGGGCCCGCCTGATGGTAAGCGGCCACCATAGACTATAGTAAAGGCGTTTGCGATACAAAAAAATCACTCGCGCCGTTGCCTACCCCGACCAAATACCCAACCCCGTGGAGCCCTTTTTTAAAAAAAAACCCTGCGAATACCCTCTAAGCTGCTTAGCGCGAAGCCGCGGTTCCCCGTTTAGGGATTCTTCCGCGTCTTCGCACCTAGCAGCCTCCGGGGCTCCACGGCAGGGGTATCGTGGGGACCCCGCAGACGTGTGCAGGATGGCCCGCGCAGGGGGGCTGAGTACGCAGCCTAGTGCCCACCGTACCGAACCTATAGTAGAAGCTATCCGATTGATTCCTAAATCTACGGCGGGAGACCTTGTGCTAAGAAGAACCGACAAGAAACTCAGAAAGGGCTTTCTTTTCTCCTTGTATTATCACACACAGTGACAGTTTTGAGGAAAAACCCGCTCCCTAAGTTCTAAGGCCGTATACAGAAAGAAAGCTGGAAGCCGGTCCTTACCGGTAACCGGCGCAGGCATTTATTTATGGACTAGCGCCGATAAGTGCCGAACGTCGCCGACAAGTGCCGACACGCGCTGGCACCAGGGGCGGTTTATGCACTAGGCCCGCTAGGCCCGAGCCTAGGGCGCCGTGGCAGAAGGGGGCGCCACGGGCCGATAAATTTGAAAGATTAAAAGCGAGAAAGCGAACGTTTTAATCGGGTCCACTCAAACGTCAATATCGCCAATATAAAATATATATGTGCTCCATTCCTACCCACAAACCTACGTAATATATGTATGATTGAAATTCTGTTTCCGTTAAATTATTTTTGAAATACACTCCCGCTCAAAAGTATGGGTTCACTTCTCGAAATTTTCAGCTTCGGTATAAGTTCCAAATCTTGGTGGAAAAAGGTCGTAAGAGAATTTAATGAGCACCGTTTTGAAGGGGACAGTTTTAGCTTCACTTTGCCATTTTTTATAATTTTTTACAATTAGAAAAAGTATCGTGCGATTTTTTTTACCAAAAATATTCTAATTTTCGACAAAAATTGATAATTTTATTCAATTCGGCGTATCTTGAAAACGGCGGGTAATCGAAGAAAATAGCAAGGGGGTGAAAAGTTGCAATAGATCATCCGACATTTGTTTTTTCATACTCTTGCAGTCGAAATGATTTAAATTTTCTCATGATTTTTTCTTTTTTTTAGACGGCGCAGGCATTTCTTTTATTGGTTTTATAACCATCTTGACGTAATTTTTACTAAAAATCAAATTCCGCACAATTTTTTGTACGTTTTTTTCATTTAAAAAAATTAATTTTTAGTTCAAATTACGTCAAGATGAAGATGAAACCAATAAAAGCAATGCCTCAGCCGTTTAGAAAAAAGAAAGAATTAGTCCAGTCAGTATTGTCGCGAAATCCGTTTTTCCTCAAACAGCTGGAACTATGCTAAAAAGTTTCTTAAGATAGTAAAGAACACTTTACATAGAGAAAAAAATGTTTCCAACCCCGGGCAAGGGTGAAAACCACCCTTAATAATCTATTTTTCCAATTATCTCAAAAAGTATACGAGATACGGAAAAAAACTTCAAATGAAAATTGTAGATCTTTTTGAAATCTACAAAACATTATTCCACCCTCTTGCCCCTATTTTCAATAGGGGAGCCAATAATCGAAGTCAAAGATTCAATACTTAAAAAGTTAAAGTTAGTTAAAAAAGTTATCTTTGACTTCGATTATTGGCTCCCCTATTGAAAATAGGGGCAAGAGGGTGGAATAATGTTTTGTAGATTTCAAAAAGATCTACAATTTTCATTTGAAGTTTTTTTCCGTATCTCGTATACTTTTTGAGATAATTGGAAAAATAGATTATTAAGGGTGGTTTTCACCCTTGCCCGGGGTTGGAAACATTTTTTTCTCTATGTAAAGTGTTCTTTACTATCTTAAGAAACTTTTTAGCATAGTTCCAGCTGTTTGAGGAAAAACGGATTTCGCGACAATACTGACTGGACTAAATCATGGGAAAATTAAAATCATTTCGACTCCACGAGTATGGAAAAACAAATGTCGGAAAAAATTCTGAAATAAATCTACCATGTCCATCATGATCTTTTGCAACTTTTCACCCTCTTGCTATTTTCTTCGATCACCCGCCGTTTTCAAGATACGCCGAATTGAATAAAATTATCAATTTTTGTCAAAAATTAGAATATTTTAGGTAAAAAAATCGCACGATACTTTTTCAAAAACGAAAATGCAGTGTTTAATATCCTCTTTCAAACTGCGATGGATAAAATTGCAAGGAAAATTTTTTAACAGCCAGACAGCCCATTCCCAGAGGACAAAAAAACATCGAAAAACTGCCATGTTCAAAAGCGCGTGGGGACTATAAAAAAAATTGTAAAAAATTATAAAAAATGGCAAAGTGAAGCTAAAACTGTCCCCTTCATAACGGTGCTCATTTAATTCTCTTACGACCTTTTTCCACCAAGATATGGAACTTATACCGAAGCTGAAAATTTCGAGACGTGAACCCATACTTTTGAGCGGGAGTGTATAAAAATCATTTATTCTAGCCTGTGCTTTTTCAACTATTTTATGGAGAGGGGAGAGGGGGCGCTAATTTCGTCAGGCCTAGGGCGCCCGTTTTCGTAAACCGCCCCTGGCTGGCACCGCCCTTTAAAATTAATTAACAACTACGCCTTAATCTGATTCCTTTATGTAACTGTTACCAGTAAGGACCAGCGCTGAGAAGCGCCTGGGTTTCATGGTGTCGCCGACTCGAGAGGTCCCAGTTTCGAATCCCGGTGGGAGTAGATGTTTGTGTGATGAATACGAGCATTTGTACTCCAGTCATGAATGTTTCATATGTATTTCTAAATAAAAATATACTTATATCTGTACAGTATATGTATTCTATCCGTTACCCTAGTATCCCATAACACAAGCCTTACAGTGCTTACTTTGGGGCTAGGCTAACTGGTGTGAGTGTTGGAAATATTTATTATTGGAACGAAAGTTCCTTACGGCAGGCTTGGAGGGGATAGGGATTTTGCTGCGCGACCGAACTGAAAAAAATGTGATAGTAAAACCGTAAGAAAAAATGCGTGGAATAAAACCGTTAAATGAGACGTGCGCAGGCGCGACGAAGTTCCTTACGGCAGGCTTGGAGGGGATAGGGATTTTGCTGCGCGACCGAACTGAAAAAAATGTGATAGTAAAACCGTAAGAAAAAATGCGTGGAATAAAACCATTAAATGAGACGTGCGCATAGGGGGTGGTAGAGCGACGAGGGTGCATCACTGAAATATTGTGATATTACACCAACACTGAATATGTGTGAAGTTATAGGGGGTGGTAGAGCGACGAGGGTGCATCACTGAAATATTGTGATATTACACCAACACTGAATATGTGTGAAGTTATAGGGGGTGGTAGAGCGACGAGGGTGCATCACTGAAATATTGTGATACTACACCAACAGTGAATATGTGTGAAGTTATAGGGGGTGGTAGAGCGACGAGGGTGCATCACTGAAATATTGTGATATTACACCAACAGTGAATATGTGTGAAGTTATAGGGGGTGGTAGAGCGACGAGGGTGCATCACTGAAATATTGTTATATTACACCAACACTGAATATGTGTGAAGTTATAGGGGGTGGTAGAGAGACGAGGGTGCATCACTGAAATATTGTGATATTACACCAACACTGAATATGTGTGAAGTTATAGGGGGTGGTACAGCGACGAGGGTGCATCACTGAAATATTGTGATACTACAACAACAGTGAATATGTGTGAAGTTATAGGGGGTGGTAGAGCGATAAGGGTGCATCACTGAAATATTGTGATATTACACCAACACTGGATATTTGTGAAGTTATATCAAGCTGTGGACCAGTAACGCCTGTGAGACATGATTATGATTACAAGGTGAGTACTTATCAGGAGGTGGCAGAGCGACGGGGGTGCAACCCCAAATTATTGTGGCATTATACCAACACTGGATTATTGTCGTATATTATACTAAACTGTGCTTAAGTCCAGGGGGTGGCAGAGCGACGGGGCTGCATTACTGGATTATTGTGACATTGTAGTTTATTATAATCTGTGGGCCAGTTCTGCCTAGCAATCTTTACGAACACTAGCTGACTGAACTGAAAAAAATGTAAAAATGTGATAGTAAAACCGTAAGAAAAAATCCGTGGAAAAAAGTGCGTGGAATAAAACCATTAAATGAGACGTGCGCAGGCGCGACAGTCGCATACACAAGCGAGTTTGCAATTTGTGTCGATTCTACACTAGCCGAAGGAACTTCGTTCCTACCTGGTGTCCCACGACACCACATCATTTTTTTATTTATTTATTTCTTTCTGTATACGGCCTTAGTCTCTCCGTGTCCTCTTGTTTCTCGGTTTCACCGATCTTCAACCACAACTCACCCGTATAACTTCTGGACAGGCGTAATGAGGGCTACCGCAAGACGTCTCCAGCAAAGAACCGGCTGGTTGCAGAGACGCCATACCGAAGTCTGCTATCTTGATGTTGTTCCTCTCATCGAGGAGGAGGTTCTCTGGCTTCAGATCGCGGTGGCTGTTAAAGAAGATGTGTTTTTAGGTAATGGCAGTGGCGGACTAACAGGGGGGCGGAAGGGGCGGCCCGCCCCGGGCCTCCGATCTTGGGGGGCCCCCAAATGCCTCCGCGTTACCCTGATCAAATCCTAAACAAGACTTTAAAAATGTGCTTAGAACCTAATACATAATTGCATCAAGATCAAAACTACAGTAATCTAGACTTTTTACGCGGTACTAATATTTTTTTAACTTTGCTGAACGCGTCCAATACGCTGGGGGAATTCCTGTCTTTGTAGCGGGTACTTCCTCAGGAATCCCTCAGGAATTGGGCTATTAAACAAATCAAAAATATTTTCCAAATTATTGAAACAAAGTTTATGCTAGAAACTTCAGATGACACTCTGGCTGTAGTAGATGACAATCTGATACAAAGTTATGGTGAATTTAACAAGACTGGTTTTATCGAAATAAACATAAGAATCTACATTTTTTTAAAGCTGGGGACCTCATTCAGCTTTGCCGCCCCGGGCCTCGGACGGGCTTAGTCCGCCACTGGGTAATGGTACTCATGTTCATCTTAGTGGGTTGTGTATTTGTTTCTTAGGTTTTCACGCACATCACTCATTAAATAAAACTAGTTTTTATGGGTTAATACACGAAACTTTATTTATTTATTGACGTTTCGTAGCCTACGAAAGGCTAAGGCTACGAAACGTCAATAAATAAATAAAGTTTCGTGCATTAACCCGTAAAAACTAGTTTTATTTAGTGGGTTGTGACTTGGGACTCCGGACAAGTAATAATCAACGAAACCTCATTTTAATATTTTTGTAAAAACTGCCACAACTAAAGCCCCTGAGGCTTAGTCATATACTGAGCCTAGAGATCTAACATATTGGACAACTATATTGGAATACACACCAAATGGAATGACTGTGACAGAAGTCGAGCGCGGAGATGATCTGCCGGAAGAACCTCCTGGCCTCCTTGGGCGTCAGGCGGCCTTTCTTCACCAGGTAGTCGAACAGCTCTCCCCCACTCACGTGCTCTAATACCAAATACCTGAAAAATTACGGGATAATTAAAAAAAAAACTCTTTAGTAGTTAAATAGATACAGTGGATCCCCGGTACAAACATTTTGCAGGGCAATGTCGAACTATCGAATTTGACGGATTATAGAGTACTGCCTAAGACCCCCTATAATCCGATTTTTTTTACAAAAGAGTACCTTGTAATCCGACAAATCTCAGATCCAATGATAAGATTACAAATCATACTTTGTTATGTATGTCAAATTTAGTAAATTAAACAACACAATAGAAAGATTACGTTTTATTATAAAAGTAACGTCATTAATGCTATAGCATTTACAAAAAAATCTAAAAAAACAATACCCTACGCGTCGAGCACAATAGTGATGGTGCGTACAAGTTGTAACTTGTTCAATCGTGAATTAGCGAATACTTGTATGTAATAGACGATGTCGGATTATAGGGAGTGCCGCATAAGCCAGGGGCCGGATTACCGGGGCTCCACTGTATATAGTTGATTCAGGCTGATTGACACTTCGGTAAGTACAGTAGTGAATTCACAAATGGGACAGTTAACCAGTGATGTCAATCGCACGATTCTCTTATTTTAAAACTAAATTTAACATCAGTCTTTCCTTTTCATTCTGTATAGAGAATGACAAGGATACACTGTTTTTAAATTTAGGTTCAGACTGTAAGTTAGGTAAGTAAAATTTTTACGTGCCTGTGCCACCTGTTACTAAAAAATTGGCCCACAGCACAAGTTAGCAAGCATGCATACGTTCATTGTACACAGTAATACTACTCGATTATCCATATTTTGTCCATCAGAAAATAAGTAAGGTCTGCCACTCTTGAGATCTTGTACTTATTGGTATATCAATTATAAGTACATTTACTCTTATTCTTCATTCAGCCTCTTAGAGCTAGTTCACACATGGCGGAATCCGCACGGATGTAAAGTGACCATACATAAAATACGTCACATGTTAAGGGGGAGGGAGGGGGTCGACGAAGTGTGACATTGGTGCAGATTCTAGCGTGATTCTCTATACTTAAAAACTAAATTTAACATTAGTCTCTCCTTTTCATTCTGTATAGAGAATGACAAGGATACACTGCTGTCAAATTTAAGTTAGGTTTAGAGAATCATGCTAGAATCGACACCATTATGTGACAAGGGGTGGGAGGGGTCCTAAGTTTCGTGGCGTCACATTTCAAAATCGAATACCTACTTTTGAGCTATTATCAAAAATCTTTTAAATATGTAGCTCTCTATCTGTATGTGGTTTCATTTGTTTTGTTGGGTAAATTTCCGGAACTTATTTCAGAACTGCTGTATTAATAATATTTCTAAATTCAAAAGAGCAATATATATGACGTCACACTAGGGAGGGGGGGGGACTCACAAATGTGAACAACTGTGACAAGAACGGGGGAGCGGTAAAAAAATCACGTAATTAGGTGACGTACTTTATGGATGACCCCAAAGAGCTTGGTTCCAAACCGTGAGGATCACGTATGCAAAGTCCGTGAGGTGTAGTATGAACGTACTAGTCTATCAAGCCATTTATAATAAACTTCACGCGGTTGATCCGCGTATTTCGCCATGTCTGAACTAGGGCTCAGATTAAATAAAATTAATCATCTATATCAAATCATACTTAAAATCTTCGTTTGAGTTTGAAGCACTTAATAATATCAATCAATATCGTCTTACCTCCTTCGGTCTTACGTAAATGGACAACACCCACTCACAAACTTAACAAAAGATGGCTATGTTAATAAGTTAATTAATATAAAAGGAAATACTTACAAATATTTTTTATTCTCGTACACATCAGAGAGGCCTAGTACGTGGGGGTGCTCTATTAGTTTCATTATAGCTATTTCCCGTTCAACCTGCAAAGATAAATGAAAGAAATTTAATGAAAAGCGACAGATCTGAATAAAGAAAAATGTTTACAACACCTTTGCTCAAAAAACATACATTAAATTTGATATAGGTAAAAACGTTCTATGGCATTCGTGCGAAATTGGTATAATTTACAAACTACTCGTTTGTAATAACTAACTTATCATATACTTATAACTTATAACTGTTCAGTTTAGGCTGTTACAAGCACTCATGGATGTTTAGACGCTACACCATCAGTTCCTAAATCTACGGCGGGAGACCTTATACCACGTATTTTACTCATGTGCTTATACTGAGAAGAACCGGTAAGAAACTCAACAAGGGCTGTTATCGTCGTGATAACGTCTGATAAATCGATTAACACCGGCAGCACGCACTAAAAAGTATGACGTCATGTCACGAGTCACGTTATGTGACTTCATGTCACGTTAGTTCAACGTTTCGTGGTGTGCGTGAGGTGAGGTCAAGAGGTCCGCCTGACCCCCCAGACACCCTTGGTATGTATAAAAAGGTAATAATGACGCGAAGAATAAGAAAAAGGGTAAATAAGCATACCTTCATAAGCACAGATTCGCTCAATTTCTCCCTGTTGATAATTTTGACGGCCACTTTCTTGCCTGTCACGCAGTGTACGCCAAGCTTCACCAAACCTGAAATGAACAAAAGTAATACGTTATGAAAATTTTATAAACGTTAAACTTTTTTTCGCAGCCATTTAATTTTGGATAAATTAGTCAGCCAATTGGATGTCTAGGCCTATGCCATTCATTAAACGCAACGTTGTGTAGTCATTTAGTTATATTCATAAACTTGGTATTTAAGTTGTATAGTGATGAATTTGCTATGTTTGATTAGGTAACAAACCTAACCATATATCCACAAAATAGGCATAACAGAAGGTAATCTCATATAAGTACTTCACTTGGCATGCCTACGCTTGGCGGTCGCGCTAGGATTGTCAACATTGGCCTATGCACAAATAACTATAACTATAGTGGCACTCATCTAGTTATTTTATTTAATGTCGAGAATGAAACGGAAATAAAAACCAATAATAATCAAAATATTTCAATTTAAATCTTGTTGTAATATAACAAATAAAAAAAAGACAATTAACTGCAGTGGCGGGGCAAGACCTAAATTTGATGTGGGCAAGACAGATTTCGCGAGGCCCTGTTCTGTGGCGACCTGAAGACGGATTTAATAAAATAAATAAAAAAAAAAGAAATTCGCTTTTAAGCAATGCATAAATTTTTTTGAGGCGCGAGGCCCCTTGTACCGCGAGGCCGTAGGCGGTGGCTTACGTCGCCCACGCCTTACGCCGCCTCTGATTTAACTGCTTCATGTTGAATTCAAACAACCGTCTACTGAACAGACATTTAACCTGACTGCGCAATGCAAGATCGCATTAGATATAGTGTTTAACAGTCTATATAATAATATGTAGTTCATATGTACAGGTCGCGGCACGTAACTCTAGCGCTGAACAAAACGCGTCAGGGATAGCTGCGCCTGGATACGACTGGAGAGCCAATCGGCGCAACGCACGCCCACCCGCGCACCTCGTTTCCCCCCAACACATCTTAATTTTTTACTTCTGCGCAATAACGGTCAGCGCTAGAGTTTCAGGCCACGATGTATGTTCCTTTATGCACGTATTTCTGACAGCCCTCTGTATAGAGCCTGCCTGGAGGAGGAGGAAACGAGCTCCCATGTTCTGCTGGAGTGCAGGGGCGTTGCAAGACAAAGGACTTCTCTAATGGGAAGCCCGCGGACACTAGTAGAAGCCTGCAGCAACATCCGAGGACTGCTGAGATTTCTGGAGGAGCTGGGATGGCAGGATTGATGCCAATCCCCGCGCAAAATAGGCACTGGGTGTCGAGTTACGGAAACAGCCCGCCCGTACTACTAAGACTAAGACTCCTTTATGCACAAAAAAAATCACAGGTGCGTGTATCAAGCGGGTGAAACTCGCGCTCGCAGTGGTGTGAACTGCAGTGCTATTCTGAAAAATTTTAACTATTCTGTAATATATACGAGTATAATATATATATGGGAAACGCGCGGATCCGCGCGTGAAAATTTTACAGATCAGCACTGCCGGTCAGCCAGCCGTCTTGTCAGTGAGAGTGTCTATGTGTGCGTAGCTCGAACGCACTTTGTATGTAGATAACCTTCTGTTATATTCACTGCCGGATTTAGGGGAGGGCAACCGGGGCGAAAGCCCCGGGGCCTCCCCGGGGCCTCCACAAACGGGAGGCCCCCACAATAGAGACTTCGGAAAAAAAATCTTTCAAATTCCAACTAGTAAACACTAGTAAACATCTTTTCCTTTGATTTTTTTTTGCTCTTTTACCTTTACCCAGGGCCGAATTTAAAGCAGGGCAGGTGGGCTGTGGTCCAGGGGCCTCCACAACAGCTTAAGAAATAACAACATTTCGATGGGTCAATAAGCATACAAATCCTAAGTGGCCCGGGGCCTCCACAATCCTAAATCCGGCCCTGGTTATATTGGTATCTATTTTATGCTATAACCAGGCTTCTCATACAGCTTAAATTGTTATCTTTACCATTAACTGAAACAGCCACAGCCACTAAATAAATCACATTGTCGACGAAACTGTATGTTTAATGAGAAATCTGAGAAATATTTTAAGTAGTTTTGAACAGTACACTCTCAGTATTTTTTATATATTGTTTGTAATATGTTTAGTTTTTTTTATTCTTATAAAATGAAAATATATTTCATCGTGTACCTCATAAGTAAATCAATGTTTATTTTGCCAGATTTGTATGAGAATGCATTGAGTGTACCCCTCGTATGGCCACTTAGATGAAATGACATCAATGTGAAATTGAAGAGTTCATAATTTCGTTATTTAAGACCTCTAGAGCTCAAGCCATTGCATTGTCTTGTCTGTTCCTATAGTGTGATCGAGTTACAATCAACATTTCAAAAGAAATACGAGAATAACGCTTTCGTGCAAGTGCTAAACTGTAAGAACATATTTATAGAGCTGACACTGTGATCTATACTTGGATGTTTGAGACACTTTTTAACCGACTTTAAAAAGAAAAGGTTCTTTTGTCAGTATTTTTTAAATATTGTTGTTGGTGCATACAATAGCGCAAATATCACACTAATATTATAAAGGCGAAAGTTTGTCAGTGTGTATATTTGTTACTTCTTCACGTCAAAACGGCTGAATCGAATTTAATAAAATTTGGTATGGAGTTAGCTGACACCCTGGATTAGCACATAGGCTACGTTTCACTGCGGGAAAATATCTTATTCCCATGGGAAAATCGATGTATTTATTTTCCCTGACAAACCGCGGGTAACACCGTGGGGCACATCTGGTAGCGCATATATTAAATTCAAATTAACATTTGGAGTCGGGGCCATATCTCCCAATTCCATCTAAAGGGAAGGCCTGTGCTCCAGCAGTTGGGACATTAATAGGCTGCTGATGATGAGTCGGGGCCATGCAAGGTGATAGATCTGAGTTTCCGTTTACTGCTTGGGTAGGCAATGGCACCGACACCAAATGTTAATTTGACTATAAATGAAACTACTTTAGATATAAGTTAGACTAAAATACGCTACACCTATGGCAGAACAACAGTTCTGTCATAGGTGTAGCGTATTTTAGTTATTGATATTATGTTTATTTATTAATTTTATGGAATGAAATTTATTATTTAATGTTTCCTTTTTATTTTTTTTTTTATAACACAGGCCCACAAAAAAACGTACCCAGCGCGAAAGACCACAGTACCTGAACTTTATGTTTTCACTTTATGTTGCCAGAATAGCGAAGTTGGTTCGCGTTTTGTAACAACATAAATATAGACGTATTATATGAAAAATTTATATTTTCAGCATTATTGCCTGTATAATCACTCGCGTTTTATTGCGCGTAAGTACGGGCGTCACTAGGCGCTGGCTGAAAATGAGCGCTGCTATGGTATTGCGAAAGTTCTACCGCAGTAGCATAGCTGAGGCAGCGACCTGTTAGCCCTGCACAGCAGCACCTTAAATTAGTTTTCTTGTTTTTTTTCTTTGTTGTTATGTTTTTCTATTTTGTTTTGTTTTTAATGTATGCTGTGTAACCAATTAATGATTTTTTTCTTTTCTTTCTTTCTAAATAATTGTATTAGCTTGAGTAGGTAATGGATTCGGCGCACAATGTTAATTTGACTTTAATTTTAACTACTTAAGATATAAGTTAGTAAATAATTGTATCTTTTCTTAATTTTCAGTTGTTTTGTTTTAATTATGTCGGTTTTATTTTCGTTAAAAGAAGTTTTTTATCTAACATCCATATTTAAAACTATAAGGCAATACGGCAATACGGCAATAATTTGTATCGTTAACCACATCTAAACCAGATATAATTCAATTTTTATATTCATCCATCAGTGCCGGATTGGGAGTGAGTATAAAACTTGGCTTTTGCTTCGGAAGGTACGTGAAGCCGTTGGTCCCGGCTGCATTTGCAGTCGTTATCACCCACCAATCCGCACTGGGCCCGCTTGGTGGTTCATGGCCCAATCTCCCTATTCCATCCATAGGGAAGGTCTGTGCCCCAGCAGTGGGGACATTAATAAGCTGATGATGATGATCTTGATAAAACATGGAATGTGCTAGCAGCTAACTTTCTTTTACTGATAGCGGTTGTTTCAGGCACTAGGAACAATTTGTAATTATTGTTTCCTGGGAACATTTTAGGCTTAAATGTAAGCCAAATTAAGGCCTTTACATTAAAGAGCGACCGATATATTAACTTTCTGATAGTTATCTGCGATAATACCCATTTATAAGAGAGCTTACACATTATCCCCCTTAATAATAAACGAATAATAAGCTTGGATTTGTTACTCCATGTTTTGTCTGTGTTCACCGAGGCATTTAAGTGACATGAACAAAACAAAGCGTAACTAGTCTAAACTTAGTCCTTGTTTATCAATAAAGGGGTGAATGTTGGTAATATGCTATTTTTTCACCTTCCAATTGGCGTTTTTATTGTGAGTTGTCACTGTCGTCCAAAGACACAAGCATTTCCATGAGCATCACAGACGCGATGGATACCGACTTTTAAGGAAGGAGTTTGCTTTTTTTTAAGGTTTTTTTTTATTTATAATCTTTATTCAGTAGAAAGAAGGCTTTTGTCGCTGAGCGACTATGTCAGCCCCATGATGATACATTAATTAATATTATAATCTATGCTTAATTAGTTTTATTATAATATTACCCAATTTAATGGCTAATTTTGATGTCGGCTTGGACAATATTATATTGCACAAGCCAACATGTCTTAAGCTACCTTTACTCGTATGTTCTTTTTTTTAAGATTCTCGGATCGTATTGGTCTGGAAACGCTGCTGGCGACAATGTATTCAACAGTTTTGTCGTACTTGGTAATTATGTTGCTATTTCTGCAAATTGCTGATAAGTTTCTTGCGTCCATTCTTTTTATCAGCTAAAAGATATCCTGAATACCCTAGTCGGAAAAAACATTGGACAATTCAAAAGAGTTTCAATAAGTTTCTTTGACTAAAGTATCATTCCATTCACTTGATGCACCCCTAGTTATAGGGCGTAGGCGAGTTTACAGACGCTATGGTCGCTGACATTTTTATTTCTTTC